GTTCCAAACGTTTTATTAAAGGATTTTTTTGTCATGCAAACGCCCAAGACCACCGTGAACACTGCAAAATACGCGGTGGGAAACATTCATCAATAAAACCGTCATGTTTACCTTACATGAATTATCAAATGAAACTTATTAAACAAAATATAAATTCTCTAAATTGTCCGTACCGTATGGCCCTCCAACCAGAAGGTTAGGAGTTGCTAGAAGTCCATTTCTTCCATTTTTTTGCCTTTTCTCTTGCACACGCAGAGTAATTATAAACAAACTCAGAACTTCCTATCAAAGGCATCACGTGATCAAGTAAAGACCAAATGGGTGACGTCTCCATATGACATTGTTACAATATTTTCCCAAAGTATGTACATATTAATCAAAAATACACAAAATATGAAATGGATTTTAAAGGAAAAAAGATTCATATTCACAAAATAAGATAAATTCACACAGAAAAAAATGCCCATGTAACTGAGTTCGCTACACAGGATAAAACCGTTTAAATGCCCGAACAGGGACGTTTTTGCACAGTAGCAGTGGTGGAAACGTCTGAAAAACTTTCTGGTAAAACCCCTAACGCTGTGGTCCCGTCACTGAACACAAACTAACCAGGAAAAGTATGAGTCCTCTAAACAAACACGAGCGCTACGGCGGCCCATTGTTGACCTGGAACTGAAACATCTGTTTCATTATGCTCTGTATTTGCCTTTGGACACAGGTGTTCCCTTTTCCCTGTTTGCTTCGGCTTTTTACTGCCGGTTATAATTGATATAGTTAAACGACGTGGGTTTTATTGTTCTGTTTTCTGCGGATATTGAAGATGTCTTGTAGCCTTTCCCTCATTATGTAGAAAAGAGGACAGCTTTCGGAGGCTTTCGGAGGTTAGTCAACCTGTTAGATTTGCCAGTGAAATGTTTTGTTTGCGCGTTTTTAAGTACATTTTGCACAATAATTTCAACGAGCAGCCATCCTCACTCTCGGCTTCCAGCTGTTAGGATTCTGCAAGAATGCAAACTGACTTACAGGCTCTCAGCAATTTGGCCAATTCCTATTTAGCAAGGCGCGTGGGCCAATCAGATGACGGCCTGAACGCTAACAGAAACCATTGCTAGCTTGTGTTGCAGACAATGATTAAGAGACCATTACAAAGGGCAGAGCACATGACCCATAAAGGCACATTGGTGTGGATTGTGGATGTGTAGCGTCGCTTCAGGAAAGAAAAATTGAGATAAATTGTAAATAAAATACAGAAAATTGCGCAAACTGCTTTTTAAAAAGTAAATTGCCTCAGAGGAAAATGGATAGGATGCAAAAAAAGCAAAACACTCCTCCCCCCCGCTTTCCTCTTTCTCGGAGTGTTTTTATTTGTTTAGGGCACGCGGGTGGCAGTTGCACAACTTTGCAGCAATCAGCACTTCAAAACTTCACACAATCTGTATCCGACACACAACTGCACATAACACTTTTACACATTTATGAAAGCTAACTCGTACAAAACTCCCAGTTATAGGACTCAACAGCCTTTCATTTTCTTTTTCTTTTTTACAACACTGGGCCTTTTCACACTCCTTAGTCCACGTTTTTATAGATCTGTAACATGGGGAGACCTCGGTTTAATGAGAAATAACTGCTTATTGACCCTAAAAGCGGGCCAAAATGCACAATTGCCTGTGAACTTTGTTGGAGTTTTGCATCACATGGATCTATTCCACCGTATAAACCTGGAATGCATTTGTTAAAATCTCCTCCTGATGCAGAAGCTCGATCATGGGTGGTCTCCTCTCACCTTCTGCTTATCCACCTTCGAATTACCAGGCGAGAAAATTCAAAACAGCCTGTAGTTAGGGTTAACAGCAGCTCGGGGAAAGTCCTGACTCGACTATGAGATTACACACGCGGGCGTTTTATCGTGGTTACGATATAAAACCAGCTGTTGCACCACTCTGTGAGCAAGTTCAAAGAACAACTCCCGAAATAGTCCGAATCCATCTGACTGGAAAATCCCAGGAGACAATTATCTGATCAGGTTCACAGTGCGTTACATTCATAGTGCAAAAAATAAGAACATTTGCAATACGATAAACAAGTAAAAAAAAAAAAAAGAATAGCGTTCTGTGCGATGCACAAACCCACAGGGAAAAAAAGCTTTTTTCCCCTCCCACCTTCACTTCCGCTCAGTTTTATAGTCCAACAGAACAGGATTCCATGGAAACTATTCCCCCCGTGCAAGCCAACAAAAAAAAAAAGACACCAGACTGCCGTACCTGCTGTTCCAAAAAACCTAATTGGAGCTCGTCAAACTGTCTCCAAACGGACTGATTCATGTCCCGGGTTGTTACTGTTTCTTATGCTACAACAAGAACACGAAATCAAAATAACAATTATGGTGCGAGACGAACGTGGTGCATAGATGAAAGATGAATTAATTTTAAAGTCAAGCTTTTTTTTAGTCTATCCACACAAATAAAACGTAACTTTTCATGTCATCGTATCAGATTGCCAACTTCGATTTATGAATAAGTGCTTAAACCCTGATTTTTTTTAATTCTAATTCAGAAATGAAGTGACTGATTTTAAAAAGAGTTGATGTGTTGAGAAAAAAAAAACAGCTTGATGACCCGTTTTCTCACAGTGATTCTGTTTTCAGCCGACGCATTGGGAAGCTTATTATTAATAAATCATTCGCTGGTTTGAATTGCCCAAAGTTAGATAAACAAAATGTGGCGTAAGGGAGAGAAGCCGTTGTGCGCTTTGTTTTTGTGGCATGAGAATGTCCTCAAACCCAAACACAACCTGGGAAGCAGACTATCGCTGATTTGAATTTGTGTTAAAGGAAGTAGGTCAATTTTCTGCAATCACTTAAACATATTGACATAAGATTATTAGATAAAAAAATATATAATGCTTGACTCATATTTGGATTTGAAACCAACAGTTTGATTACAAAGTCATTAGCAGTAAGTCCTCGACACGTTTTGTGTTCATTTTAGCTCATATGAAAACCCAGTTTAAACATTAAATCATCAAATCCTGAGATGATCTTTGTCCCCCTGCTCCGTCCATCTGCGTTCGGCCATGTTTGGACTCATCTCAGAGTGTGGACGGCTGCATTATTATCCTGATGTGCCGTTGGATGGGAGGTTTTTTGGGGCCCCCGGGCCTGACGGAGGCGTTGCGCAATCGCCCAGCGTGGTTAATTACACAAGATCAAACACGGGTCTCCATGGAAACTCCCTGGCCACGTTTTTTCCAAAACAAAGACCTGGGAGGCGTTCGGCGCGCACGACGAC